AGTGAAGGCAAGTTTTGCTCTACCTTTCTCAGGATGTTCACGGCCACCTCTGTCCCTGTAAGGACATAGTGGGGCAGTTTAATGTGGGTCCAATGCCCCTCAGAACCTGACAAAGGCATGTAAGGGGATCCTTAAGAGAGAAGCTGGATGAGAGGCTGGGCTACATTCTGACATCCCCACTACTGACTACACATCCTAAGCAGCAACACCAACTAAGGAGGCTAGCTTACACACACACACACACACACACACACACACACACACAACAAAACAAAAACAAAAAAATCAAAAAACTAAAATCCAAAGACCAAAACCGATGCCACCAAACACTGACTATCTGTGAATTCGACAGGTCATCACCAAGAGCTCCCTGCACTTACGGACAAAAATTCAGCTGCAGGGATTCCACGGAGCTAATAATGTCTGCGTGCCTCCTCTTATAGTTTGGATATTAAATGTCCCCCAAACCCATGTGTTGAAGGCTTGTTACACAGTGTATCAGAGTTCAGAGGTGGGACTTTGGTAGGTGACTGGATCATATAGGCTGTGACCTCATACATTCATTGATAGAGAGGTAGCTTTCTGGGAGGTGGCAGAAACTTCAGGAGCCTGGGCCTCCTGGAAGTAACTAAGTTCCAGAGGGCATTCCCTTGAAAGATGCACTTCCCCCAGCACCTTCCTCTCTATCTTCTGCCCACCAGGAGGTGAGCAGTTTTGCTCCATTGTGTGCTCCCCACCATGATGTTCTGTCTTGCCCGAGGCCCAAATTCATGGGGACAAGTGTCCATGGACTGCAATCTTTGAATTCACGAACCAAGTAAATCTTTCTTCTTTTCAGGTTCTTTTTCTTAGGTATTTGGTCACAGTGACAGAAAATTGAGTAATATAGAAAATTGGTACTGAAAAATGGGGTCATCATTGTGACTATATCTGACCATGTGGATCAGATGCTGTTGGATCTGATTTCCAGGAAGAATTTGGAAAAGGCAAGAGAAGTGAGCTAGACAAAGCTTAGAATGCTGTAAGTTGAGCCTAGTTGGTGCTTCTGGTGATTGCTCACAAGATCAGACTGCTGACAGGATTGATAAGGTTTCCAATGGGAACAAGAACTCTGCTGGGTCTTAGACTAGAAGCCATTTGTGTTATATTCTGGCAAAGAGCCTGTCTATATTTTGTCTGTGGCCTGAGACTTTGTGTGAGGCCAAGTTTAAACAGGACAGAATAATTAATCTGGTGGAGCAAATTTCAAGTCACACAGTGTCTGGCTCTGAAGTGGGTGTTGCAAGCTGCTTTATGCATCTTTCTGCTATGCTTTTTTTCTCCCAGTTGTCAAGTTCACAGTGAGAACTGGGAGAGAAAAGCAGAGCAGAAAGATTTGAAAAACACAGTTTGTCCAGAAAAGGACCATATTTAGCCTTGAGGCCAAGGAAGGTGTGGTTACTGAAGAAACCAAGATAATTAAAAAGAAGCCAAGTACTTTGCATCAGGAAAGATGCCTTGCAAGCATCTGAGGAATGATCTAGACCCCACCCATGGCAGACTCCAGGATGTACCAATAGTTCATTTGAAAGATAGTTTTTAGAGAAGAGTCCTGGGGCACCTTGCTCAGTCAGGGTTGCCTATGGAATTATTTCCCTAGAATTTCTGTCCCATGGTTCAGTGGTCCAGGCATTCAGAGGCTGCAGTAGTGGGCCCAGGTACTGCTCCTGCCAGGGGCAGACCCTGGCATCTTCCACATGGTATTGGTCTTGCAGCAAACAGAATGCAAGAGTGTCCGGATCATGGAGGTTTCCATTGCAATTTCAAAAGAAATTCTGGGAAACAAGGCAGTGTGTGTCAGGATTAGAATCCTCTAAGTGGGCAATGCATGAAGCTATGATAGTAGAGTGAAAGCTGCCATGGAGATGCCAAGGATGTGGAATATCTACAAAGGAAAGCAGCAGGCAAACAGGCAGTCAGTCCTAGAATGACATCAAAGCACTGTGGAGCTCATATGATGGCATGGTATGGCCCAGAGGCTGACACAGAGCTACAATACTGAACGTTTCACCTGCTGGGTTCTGGTCTTCCTTTGGACAAATTCTGCTATTTTCCTATCCCTTCCTTTGGGAAGGGTAATATTTATCTTATGTCTTTGTATCTTGGGAGTATTTTTTAATTTTTTAGTGGGGCTCACAAGGAAGAGCTTGCCTTGGATCTCAGAGGAAACTTTGAACTTGGAGGTTTAAGCAATGCTGGAACTATTGACTAGAACTCTTGGACATGGATCAAATGCATTTGCATTGTCGGGTGACCAGCAGCCTTTGAGGGCTGTGATGGGTGCATATTATGGTTTAGATCTTTAATGTCCCAAAACCTCATGTGTTAAAGTCTTGGTCCCCAATGCAACAGTGTCCAGATGTGTGACCTTTGGTGGTTGGCTGGATTACAGGTGCTCTGACCTCATAATTATGAGGATTTACAACTCAAGATGATTGAGAGGTAGTAGAAACCTTAGGAGGGGGGCTTAGTTGGAGGAAGCATGTCCTTGGGGGCATGCCGTTGAAGGGTACATTTTGTCCCTGACCCCCTTTCTCACCTCTCCAATTTTACTTTGCTTCCTGGCCACCTTGAGATGAGGAGCTTTGCTCTACCAAATGCTTCTTGCCACAACATTCTCCCTTCTGAGGCCCAAAGAGAAAGGACCAAGTGACTGCAATCTAAAACTTCTGAAACTATAAAGCCAAATTAAACCTTTCCTACTTTTGCGTTGCTTTTCTCAGGTATTTTGTCATAGCAATGAATAACTATTGCACCTTCCAAGGTCACCATCTCAGTTCCCACTTGGGCATCCGGACAGGACTGCAAAATGTCTCAGCCTCTCTGTGTGACTCTGAACCCTTTCAGTCTATTCTGGTGGCTGAGCCCAGCTCTGTTTATTGGTATGAACTTAATATTTTTGGTACCTCCTTACAAAACAAAATGGTGCATTTTCACTAGGGTTTGTGGCAAAAAGCCTGAGTTAATTAGAAAGACTGTCATGCCCTGGTGTGAAGGAGGAAATATTCACATAAAAATAGGTCTGTTGTATCCAATTGCTGTTCCTTAAATGTCTGGGTTCCAACTATGACAAGACTGGTATCCAGGCCCCCTTTCTTTGGGGGTAGTGACCCCCCATACACATACACACACCAGCAGTTCTCATGTCCCAAACCCTAACCCAGCCCCAAGTAGCATGCTTCTTCCTTTGAAAATGTCAGTCACTGATCAGAGTCTTGACTAAAAGAATGAGCTGTGCAGAATCATCTCCTTTAATACGTTCCTAAGTGTCACAAGTCAAACTGCCACATGTCAGCCGAGTGGCAGCTGTCACTCAGGAAGCAGGTGTGTCTGATCTTGGAAACTGGCTTGCTAAGAGAGGTTGCTTCCCGAGAGTATATGCTTAGGCTGCCTGTTAGAGTCACCAGGAACTTCTTAAAAGTAGACTCCTGGGTCCCATCCAGGAAGTACTGTCAGTCGGGAAAAGTATGGGGGCCAGGAATCCACATCTAACAAGCACCAAAGGCCACTCTGCCTTGGAAAGTCTTTCTTGTGTACTGTGTCACAGAGCTGCATTATCTGAGGCGAACGGTTCACTATTTCTCAGCCTCAACTTTCCAGGGCTAAATGAATGGAGCAATAATGGTCCTCTTGAAGGGGTGGGTTCACTGCTCAGAAGTGGGGCTCCACTCAGAGGCAACATTTGTAAAACGGTATTTATTCCTATTATTGAACATGGCTCAGTTCAAGCCCTTGAAGGGGAGTCAGGGGGGAAAAAGTGCATATTTCCACCTGTAATCACCGTCTCTTCTTTCAAGGTCTGGTATCATTCACGTGAGTCCATCTGGTCCCATCCTTTCTTTGTTGGGAGGCTTTTTATTACTGCTTCAATCTCATTCCTTGACATTGGTATTTTAGGTTTTATATCTTCTTGGTTCAATTTGGGTAAGGCATAAATGCCTAGAAATTTGTCAATATTGTCTAGATTTTCTGCTTTATTGGAATGTTTTCAAAATAGTTCCTAATGATTCCCTGAATTTCAGCAATGCCTGTGGTGAGATCTCCTTTTTCATCTCTGATTTTGATTTGAATCTTCTCTTTTGGTTAGTCTGCCTAAGAGTTTATCAATCTTATAGATATAGATGAAACATTCTCTAGATATCTTTTAAGTCATTTTTTTTATTAGAGAATTTTTTTTCTTTTTTTTAGTTTTATTTTTTTAATTCATGACAGTGGAATGCATTACAATTCTTATTACACATATAGAGTACAATTTTTCATATCTTTGTATTTGGAGTATTTTCACGCCGATTCGTTCATGCCAATTTATACATGTACTTTGGTTTTTTTTTGCGTTACAATTCTTATTACACATATATACCACAATTTTTCATCTCTCTCTGTGTGTATCTGTTTATACCCAATTCAAGTCTTCATACATGTTAGGCCCATTTGATTGATAGTATTTTTTAGGTCTGAAGAGTATTTACTTAATCTATGTGTGAATGGCCTACTGGTGAGAGAGGTGTGTTGAAATCGCCCAGTATTAACGTATTGGAGTCTGTCTTGGACTTTTTTATCAAGTAATGTTTGTTCTAGGTAAGTAGATGCACTGACAATGTTTTTGGTTTTTTTTTTTTTTATTTTAAAGAAGAAAAAATAAATTTCCATAGAAAAACACAGTTTACATCTAGGACTTATACGCTGTGCTGGAAATGGCAGCCAGGGATTTACATTCCTTTCCTCCTCTGGTGATGAATCTGAAATGCCATCTCTATTGGTGTGAATTAGGTCATACATTTGTCCAACCTGGCCAGCCCACTTCCATAAACAGAGTTGGTGTGGATAATAAACATTTTGATAACTGGGGATAATAAACTTTCTTATATATTAAAAAAATATATACAGATGCAATGCTCTTTCCCAGCCTCCACCTACTTCCGTTTTGTCTTGTTTCTTTTTTTGTGGTACCTAGGACCTTGTGCATACCAGGCAAGCACTCTACTACTGAGCAACATGCCCAGCCCTCTGTATTTTTTTCAGAATCCAAATTCTACAACCCTTTTCTCTTCCAGATTCCCCCCATAAATACATTATAAGATGATTCAAATTTGGGAGCTTCCAGAGCCTCATCTGAATGGAGACAAAAGCAGATGCGCCATCCTGGAGAATAAGCAGCAAAGTCCTCCATTTGCAAAATGGTCCAAAGTGAGTCATTTCACTGGGGAAAATGAATATATCTGATCTTGTAAACATCTCACTCAGGAAAAAGCATGCATGCATGAATTAAAAAATAGGCTTCTGGAAAAAACAGTTAGTTCCCTGTTACAGATGGAGGCTAAAGTCAACCAGAGGATGGCATCATTTGAGTCTCAAGAAAAATATCCTCACCAAGCAGGGAGTAGGGCGAGGTCCGGGAGGGTTACTCAGGATTGGTAACCTGCACAGTAGCAAAGACCATCAGCTCTCAGAGGCCATCATTACTTTCCTGAGGCTTATGACATCCAGAAACCTCTTCAAAGACTCATCTAATACAATCCCTCTGCTGACTATTTTTTGTTAGGGTTCTCTTTTTCTTGAAGTTTGTGGCCTAAAAACACTGATGAGTCCTGTGTCCAGTGAGATACACAATAACATGCCCATTCTGTGCAGGGATCTGCCTGGGGGCTCCCACTGACACCAAGATGAAGTCAGGCCAGGGACACCCGCTCAGGTCCGCTCTGTGCCCAGTGAATGTTGGCACCCCACTCCTCTGGCCATGACCCAGGGTCCTTATCCCTGTCCTGGACTCCTTACTTTGCCCTGGATGATGAGTGCTCAAGTCACTAGAACATAAAGCAGAAGGAACTAAGATAAAGCCAGGCACAAAATGACATGGGGCACAGGAGGCTCACCAGTCCCAGCTCCCCCGCAAGCTCCAGGAAAGCACCCACACTGTGGCCTCCAAGAAAGGCATGGGCATGCAGGAGAGTGCCCCAGGAGCACCCTGAATCTCCAACGCTGGCCAGGCAGCCCAGCTAACGGGAAACTAGAATTAGAGCTGAGTCAAAGGCCCAGATCAGAATTCTTCCCACCAGGGCCCCATTATATTTATAAGCCTTTAATATCTGGTCCTGAGAGGGAAGCTTTACTTGAACACTACAGTGTCTCAGTTCCTACTGTGACTGTGTTAACACAGGGTTTTGTTTCTTTATCCAACTTTGAGGAAATATTTCTATCTGGGAAGAATTACATGATTTTTTCTAGCAGAAATTAGGAAAGTAAGTTTTTAGGAATGTCTCAAAATTAAAAATAACAAAAACTAGGTGAGTAGCTCAATGGTAGAGCACTCCTGGGTTCAATCCCCACCACCATCAGCAACAAAACCTAAATGACATTTGATATTGAAATACTACTAGATGAAACAAATGATGTAAATACCAAAAAGACATGCTGGTACTAAACGGCACAGATACTTAACATCTATTTTATATGCAAAGCACCTCCCTGAAATTAATTCTGAGAGGGAGAACCACCTGGACTGCAATGGCTGCAGAGAATGGCTGGCCACGGAGATCGACGCTGCTCGGCCCAGAGGGACATTCACAGGAGCATTCTCACCAGCACCAAGAGATGGAAAGATGGGTGGAGTCTGTGTCGGGGATGGTAATAACACTGCTTTTCCCAACAGCTCAGGACGGAGAAGAAACACAGGGTTTTTTGAGCTTTACTGAAGCTTAAATCCAATTCTGTGAGAGATGGCCTTCAAAACCATGTAGCTCCAAGGCATTTCTTTATCTGAAAAGATGGATTAATTTCTGTGCCATTCTTCAAATAAACTGGTTGATTAACATGAGTGCTGGTTGTTGAATATGATAACCCATCCTCAATTCTAGGGATAAGATTATTCCCCATTTTGAGAGGAGAGTGTTAAGGCTTGAAGGTGAAAAGGAACGCAAGAACAGAGCTCAGGGATTGTGCTAGGGTTTTAGTCCTGGACCCTACCACATCAGAAATGGCACTATTCGATACTCTATAGACAGGACCTTAGATGCCAAAAAGGATTTTGAGGTCAGCCAAGGTGAGCTTGGTGACAGATTCTCCAGACCCTGACAGAACCTGTTGTGCCAGATCTTTCTTTTTTTCCTGGAGCTGTAAGATGGTCTCTTCCACTGTTCCTTCACAAATAAATCTAAAAAAGCAAACAAATAAGCACACTCTCAGAAACTCAAAGCAGTGTATTTATATAACACATTCAAACTTCTATTATGTTCATCTTTTAATGAGATTTCTTTTAGGTTTCCTTAGGATTGAATAAGAACTCTGTATTTAGAGGATCCAAATACACTTGACTAAATATATGCCCATTTAAAATATGTCTCTCAAATAGACTTGTGATTTCATTCTGCAGCTTAGGGTGATTGCTAAGACATTTAGAGAAAGAGCCATTGATGAATTTGAGGAGTAAAACCGCAGAATGAGATTGAGGAGTTAGGAAGAGCCCTCCAGGGGTGATGCAAAGGACAGGCATCAGTAGAGACAGAAAGAAAGGCGTGGCAGTGTGATGGAAAGGAACGGTCATCAAAAACATTCAGAAAACACAACTAGAGGACTTGGCATATGAGAAGTGAGACAGAGCGAGGAGTTGAGTTTCTGGCCTTTTGATTAGGTAAACAGTGGCACCTCTCACAAAGACAACAAATACAGAATAAAAAGTAGATTTGAGGTGGTGGAAAGAAGCAATTTCAGTTTGCCATCTTGACCCTGGAACATGTAATTGTACTTGCTACGTAGAGGGTACATCACAGGTATCCATTTTAGGAGCTGAATATACAAATGGAATAATTTATACAGATGAGTGTGTGGGTATCAGATTCAGATATTTAGCAGGAATTTGGATATCCAAGGCTGGAAGTTTGGGAGATAGTGAAACTATAGATATAGAGTTTGGACTTACCAGAGTGGATAGAAATTTTAAGGCAAGGACATACCAGAGTGGGCAGAAAAGAAATTTAAAGAATCAATGTATTTGGAAAAGATTGGAAGTCACGGTGCCCCTTAGCAAGAGCAGCTTAAGTAGAGTGAGAAAGGTGAAAGCTAGTTTGCAAAGACTGAGGAATGAATAGGAGGTAAGCAAGTAAATCAGACAGCAATTTCCAAATTCTTCAGGAAACTTGGTCATGAAAAAGAAGGAGAAAAAGGGCCACAATGAGAGTGCTACATTGTAGCATTACGGCAAATTGTGTTGGTTTTAAAGACAGGAAGGTCTCCAATAGAGGAACATTTGGCGAAACAGTGAGCTTGTGCTCTTTTACAAGTCAGTGTCATAGAACAATGACTGAGGCACTGTGCCAGACTGAAGGAGACAAAGTTGTGACAACTATATGCTACACAGGATCCAGGATTTTATTCTGTTGTGCCACTGGAACATGTGGTAAAACTGAATAAGGTCTGCTGATAAGATAATAGTGTCACAGTGATAGATAAAAGCAGTAAGCAGTATCATAATTTTAGGAAATGTACACACTAAAGTACTTAGGAAAAAGTAACATCATCTCTGCAACTTACTCTTTAATGGTCCAGAAAAAAGCTGATGCATATGTTTATGCACACAGTATAGGAGAACCTTTGGTACTCTTTTACTCTTCTTGCAATTTTTCTATATGTATGAGATTATGTCATAATGAAAGTTAAAAGCAAAAAAAAAGTGAGCCCCTTCACAGCCTACCTGAACTGTCATACACAAGCTTATTCCTCTCCGGCAGTGACCAAACTACAAGGTTATCTCAGATTATTTGTTTCTTTCCTGACTATGGTATGCCTCAGAAGCATCATGAGTAATGTGACCACCAAATACTTTACATTCTATTAAAACACTACCTAAAGAAGGCTTTCACAGAAACAGACACTAGGAATGGTCCTCAGAGCCCTTACTTACCTGTGTATCACAACATCTTTCTGCTGCCCTACTCGATAAATTCTGTCACAAGCCTGATCTTCAAGTGATGGATTCCTGTTAGAGAAGAGGTAACATTTAGAGGTTCTGACATCCTACACCAGAGACAGTAAACTATGGTCCATGGGCCAAATCTAGCCCACATACTGCTTTTGTATACATTTTCAGCTAAAAATAGTTGCTTCATTTTTAAAACCCAGAGGAAGATATATGACAAAGAACTATGTGGCCAGCAAAGTCTGAAGTATTTGCAGAAACACTTTGTCAACTCCTATCTTAGGATACACTGGACCAAGCAAGATTAGTGCCAGCTATCATTTTGCCCTCTAGTGAGAAACTAGAAACTTTAATAAAAACTCTTAGCACTATCATCGGTTGATAACTATAAGTAACAAGGTCAAACCAATAGTCAAATACAGTCTTTAGCTAGCTGGATGACCCTGCGCAAGTTACCTAGTCTCAGCCCTCCAGGCTTCAGATGACTACATATAAACATGAGGACTGGCTAAATGTTCTGAAATTTAACTTTTCAACTTTAGTATTCTATGATTCAACTAAGAACACTTAATTTGTAACCTTCTTTATAGATCCTCCTTACCAAACTGCAATTAGTTTCTCATCTCACTTCTTTAAAATCTTGGATAACAATTCTCCATCTCAGAAAACAGCCTAATTCCTAGTATGCTTTCCTCACTACTATGTACATGGGAGCTTCAGGTACAACCTCCTGGAAGATGACAACAGGTTGGTCTGTCTGTACCAATTTGGGCAGCCTGGATAATTAGACACACAATCCCAACAATGGTACCTGTGCAGCAATCCCTGACTGGCGTAACTATAAAACTAGAAAGTGGTAATTAATTATGAGATTTTTCCTGGTCATACACTAACTTACTCATCTTATCAATACTGTTGTGTTCCCGGCATGGACACAACATACAACAAATCCAAAGACTATATTAAGTGTATTTCTAACATAATTAGAAAATTTCTTCACCTTTTAATGGAGCTACATCCCCGGTACTGGAGTAATGCTTCTAAGGTTGAGATTCCCTAGGATTATATGTCTGGAATGTGGTTTTGTGGACAAGTAAAACTGGGCTCTTAGCTACGAGGAAAAGCTGTGCTCCCAGCTTCCAGGGAAATGGATATTAGACTAATGATAAAGTGAATGAGATATTTTAAGTAATCATTTGAAGCTTACTCAGGAATTCAGGAACACTGACTAGCCCTATATCCTGTTTAGACCTGCACCTATAGACATGTATGCACAGAGGCATCTCCATCAAAGAAGCAGAACACACTGCCTGTTGTCCCTCTAATCCACTGGTCTCCCTACCATGCTGTGACAACTCAAGATAAATCTTGAATCATTACCAGTGCATATCCAGAAGAAAAAGATGATTTCCTCCAGTTAGGTTTAGACCAACACCTCCAGCCAAAAGAGAGATTAGCATAACCTTCAAAGAGAAACATAACCATTAACTCTACACCGTCTTGGTCTCATAGTACATCTGCAATAATTTGGATTTTAAGTGTCCCTCAAAGATCCATTTTGTCAAGACCCAATTCCCCAGCATGGTGCTGTTAAGAGGTGGTGGAAACTTGAAGAGGTGGGGGCTGGTGGGAGGTCTTCAGGTCACTGGGAGTGTGCCCCTGAAAGAAATAATGGCCCCCCATCCTTTTCCCCTTCCTGTCTTTTCCTACTTCCTGGCTGTGAGGCAAGTCATTCTGCTCTGCCACATTTTCCGGCCATGAAATGTTGTCTCACCACAGGCCCAAAGGCGACAGGAACCATTTACCATGGACTAAAACCTCCAAAACAGTGAGATGTAAACCTTTTCTCTTTCTAAATTAATGATCCCAGAAAGTTGTTAAGTGTGACACAAAATAAATACATTTTCCTTTCCTATCAGGTTTAAGCCCAAGATCAAAATAGAAAAACAATGTGTTCCTATCAAATTTTCTCCTGCTGTTATTTTTTAAAACATGCATTGACATCTCCCATGCTTCACCTCTGAAAAAACTCTCACATCTTTAAACTTCCCACTAACCAGATATGAGTATCCCATCAGAACCCTTTCCTCATTTGCCTTAATTCTCCTGCCTATCATTCAACTTTGCATATTTATAATCACATCTGACTTTGTTCTTCCATTTCTTTCCAGGTTTCCTCATATCAAAATCCTATTTATCCTTTAAGGCTTGACTTCTCCACAAAGATTCTCCTGCTCCTAACCAACTCTGCTCTGAGTCTCCTTTTAGTCCTCACATCTTAAGTACCCCAATAAATGTCTAATACATTTTAAACACTTGGTGAAATCAAAGCTGTGAATATTTTTAAGTTGAATTGCTGTATTGTCGTGCTCTCTGTATAACTGGGAACAATTTACTCCTTGGTTATAGAGCTCTGCTGTACCAGCTTGTACCTGAGGGCCCCTGCAATGGTTAAACGCCTCCACCAAGTCCATTCTCTGTTTGGGTTTGACGGAGCCATCAATGGTGGCATAAGTGAATCCATGCTTCTTAAGATGCAGTGCTACCACTTTCAGCATGCTGGTCCACTGAGAGACAATGACACTGGAAAGAAGGAGAAAATAAAAACCAACTACACTAACAGATTAAACAAACTCATCTGTAGGGTTTTAATGCCCTTGTTAATCTTAAGAGACAAAGAAAAGAAAAAAGTTACCTACGGGAAAAAGTTGTTCCTACAGTTTGGATGAGTGTCCTCCAAAGACCCACATGTAAGAATAGGTCCCAGGGAGGAAGTGTTAGGAAACGATGTGGACCCTTGAGAGGTAGGACCTAACAAAGTTGCATAGGTCACTGAAGGTGAGCCCACCAAAGAAATCGTGGGATCCCATCTTTTCCCCTTAGTCTCTTTCTGCTTCCTGGCTTCTGATTAACCATTTGTTCTGTCAATGTTCCTGCCATTGCCATTTGCTGTTCACAGAGTTCCAAACAATGGTGCTGCCCAATCTTGGACTTGAGCCTCCAGAACCATGAGCCACATCAAACTTCTCTATATTTCATAAGAAGCCTGTGTTAGTATATCATGTGGTGACATGAAGCACTATAGGCACACACTTAGGTTGTCCTATAAGCTTAAAATGCTTCCAGTTATTTTGAGACTTCATTCTTGTCTTGTACTACACAAAGTCAGAAAAAAAAAAATAGTAGAATAAAATAACTACTCCAATTTCCTTTTATTTGGGGGCCTACTGCTCATCCAGAGATCTGTGTTCCTGCAGTAAATGGACACCACCCTGTGTCACAGAACAACATGGCACTAGGGTTCCTACCTCCCCAAGCCACATTTTTATTAAAGCTTTAAATGTTGAAAGTATTTCATATACACAAACGCTGATGTACAAAATATGTGTAAGGTGTAACAATGAGGAAATAATCCTGGTCTCCCCACCCAGCTTCAGAAGCACATCGGCAGTGCTGCTGCGGCACCCTGATTTTCCTATGTCACTCCCTGGCTTCTTTACTTTTAATCACTGTTTCAGATGCCTATCTTTCCCTGATCCTCTAGGGATGTCCTTTTCAATCTGTTCCACAAATATTTTAATTAGAAATCTTGGAGAATTTGTGATATAACCTCAGCGCTTTCTGCTGAGCATGACTTGAGGTCCTTGATATAAAAAGCTAAGATTTATGACTATCAGCAATATCAGATTTTCTTGCTTAATTATAACCAATGCTTAGATAATGAGAAAACACATTTACCTCTTTTGGGACCCTGAATTTCTTCGGATTGCCTCCAACTCTGCCAACAGAGATGATATCTGGGAAAAGGTTACATTAACATTGCAAGTTGAAGCAATTCACTTTTCTTCATTTTCTCTTGACTACATTACTGAAGCTCTATCCTGGAAAGCTTCTAAGCTTCTGGTCTGACCCCTCTCTACCCTGTTCACCCCTCTGTAACCAGGAGCTATTATTAAAATGTAAGCTTGTCATCTTCCTGCCCTGGCTGGAGCCCCTTCTGTAGCTCCCCACTAAGGATAAAGCCCAAGCTCCTTAGAACGACAGGCTCGATCTTCACTGCTCTTGCCTCTGCTTACTGTTCTAGGATCACTTCTTGTTAATGACCTCCTCAAATGGAACTTCAATCTCATCAAAAAGTGTCCTTCAGAAAGCCATGCCGAGTCTCACCTTTGTCTATTCTGTTCCCTATAATGTCCCTTTTGGGGCCCTCTTCAGGCCCCAAGTATGGATTACATTCACTGCCCTTGCTACTATTTTGTCCCTACTATTATAGTCCTCATTACACTACATTTAATTGCTCATTAATCATCTCTCTCTTCCAGGACTTGATATGCTCCAAGGGGTCAAAGATAGCACACGTTGAATTCATATTCTGTATGTTGAATTCA